AACTTACCGCGAACTCGCCACCAAAAGCCCGCCGGAAGTCCGGCCGGAGCGATCGGGGACTCGGTCCGGTAGGAAAGGTGCTGGGCGCTGGGACTCCCAGCAGCTTCTACTGAAGCCTCCGAGTAAATCCGCAGAACGCCACACCTCCTCATATCCCATCCCTCTCAAAAGCGCGCCAGTCAACCCATACGGCGGCGGCCCGGCTACCAGACAACGAGGAGAGGCAAAAGCAAGAGATGCTGAGGATAGGCCGTGTGCGCTGTCTGGCGCCGTTCTGGGCGGTGCAATGTAGGACGGTGACGGCGCGGCGAGTTACCGGAAGCTTCAGACAGCGCTCGGAGTCCCCAAGCAGCTTCAACCGAAAGCCAATCCCCAAACTCCGGCGACTTTCCGCCGGGCGACTTCGGGTGGCCAGTAATACGCCGTGAAGTTGTGTGCGGGCCTGCCAGTAAACCAAAGCAGAAGAAGAAGAGAGTGACGTCAGCGGCTTCATTTGCCTAAACCTTCCCCAGAACTTATCTGGTGTGAACGCGATCTGACTTAGTTCATGAGAACAAAGAGTTCTGATGAACTAGTTCCTCATGAACCTTTGTGGGAAAAGACTGCGGTGTGAATGCGCTATGATTCTGTTTTTCTTCAGGTTTATATCTCTTGGTCGAATGCACTTATTGTATGTCACTTTGGATAAAAGCGTCAGCTAAATGTAAGTGTGATTACAAAAAATCATGCCAAAATGTGTAAGTTGTGTTGGCATCTACTATGGAGATAAGCCCCGCCTCCTCGCTAGCATGATTAGTTTGGAGTGAAGCAAGTACAGTAAACACAAACGAGCCGTGGTCTAACCTCAGGGGTTCCCAAACTTTCAGCCCGCGACCCCCAAAAATAACAGTACCGAGAGACTGGCGACCCCCTGTCGATGGGGGGGGTGGGAAAAAAAAGTTTGAGAAACACTGCGCTAGTGGATTGTCAAAGGGGGAGCCTCGTTGCGGGGAAATTATGCAGATGGCTAGTCCGCCCCTGAAAATGTCTATGCAAACGTTATTATTAATAATAATTTTTTATTTTCGCGACCCCCACTTTGGGAACCCCTGGTCTAACTCATACGAGTAACGTGGGCTCAGATTTCTGGTAGAGAAATAAAGCTCACCCTGATTTTGGCAGCAGGCCGGTCCCCTGTCTCCATCTGCTGTTTCAGGTGGTTGATCTCCTGGGCCAACACCTTCCTGTCATCCAGCAGGTCGTTGAGGTGGCGCCGGGCCTCCTCTGTGCTGACCATCACCTCCACTTCATTGAGAAGCCAATTCTGATCACATAAATACGGGCAATATTTACAGATACACAACAAAAACTTTAGTCCAAAACATCTGACTTAATATAATGAGGCAGAACATCTTTAACATATTTGCAGCTTACTCAATCAATGTGACATTTCAGGGAGGATCATTTTACAAATATAAAATTGATAACAACAAACACATTTTCACTTCTGATAACCTTCTGTTGTGTCCGGGAAACACCAGACAATGTGAAGACCTAATTCTCTGTATATTCTTGGGAGTTCAAATGATAAAACAATAAGAATTAAACTCATTTGATACAAACTAGCCCCAGCGTTGCATGCGGTAAGCATTGGTAGTTAGCTTAGCAAGACAATTCTGGTTCACAATAATCAATGGAGGAAAGAGTAAGGAAACAAAACGATGCAGAGATATATCGCCCACTCCTAGTAAACATGAATAATGTTTGTTTGCGCTTCGTGGTTGACCAAACACAGGCCTTGGTGAACACAGAGAGGAATTCAAACAAATGTTATTACCTTAACTCGTGTAGCAGCTCCCTCTATTCCTCTGTGGCGTTTGTCTGCTACCTCACTTCTCTTCAGCAGGGCATCTTTCAGCCGCTTGTTTGCTGCCGCAGCCTGTAGGAGGAATACTTATTCATATAAGAAAAGTAGCAGCTACTTCATAGATGTTGAACAAATTCAATCCAGCACACTACTTGAAGATCTTAAATGTATGCCTCACCTCCTCAGTTTTACGACGCAGAACACTGGCCTGTTTCTGAAAATCCCTCTCAAGTTTAAGCAACTCGTACTGCCGTTTGCGATCCTGTTCAACAGATTCAATCAAATCAACTGTGAGCCAGGTAACATTAATAAATGCGTCAAAGGGAAAACAAGCTAAGCAGCAAAAAGGTATGAATAAAAGGATGTAGCGAGAACGTGTCCTGCAGTGAAGAACTTGATTTCCACACACCTTCTCCTTTAGCTGCAGCACCTCCTTATCCTTCATGCTCTTCCATTGTCTGAACTTCTCAGAGTCCTCCCTCATCTGCCTCATCAGCTGCGCACGCTGGTTCTTCATCGCCTGTGAGAACACAGCGTTACCATGTTAGGTTCTGGCTCACATGTATTCAAAGTTGTAGTAAATAAGAGCAGTGCTCTTTGCCAATGTGCATGCCGTGATAAAGGTCAAAAGAAAATATGGATTGGTGGTTTACAAGGAATTCCACCACCGAGAGACCATGTTCTATGCACTTAAGTGAAGGGGACACTCTATATGGTCACTACTATTTAGTTCATATCTTATAAAATAGAGTATCAACTTCATTTTAATATTATTAATTAATAGATAAATAGTACATTTTATTCATAATATTATTGAGATGGCGGTGTGACCCAAGAAGGATCTATTTAGTTCTTTGATGGTATTATTAAAAAAGTCAATTTGTTCAGTACAGTAACAAAGACATCCGATAAAAGCAGTATAAGAGCATGTTAATGCTCAACATAATGTTCTCATCTATTTTTCTTTTAAAGGAACTAGATGATATAAAAAGGCATTCTTTATTACCTGTATCTCATGCATGAGATTGCCGACTTTCTTCACGGAGGTCTCCTTGAGTTTGAGCATTTTGGACTGATCCAGAAGTTTTTTCTTCATGTCCACCAGCTGGTTCTCGAGCTCCTGCAGTCTCTTCCGGCGCTGCTCGCTGAGCCTGGAAGAAGGTGAAGCAGACAGGAAGTTAAAAGTGAAGGCTTATGAGGTTACTTTACAGTTTTAAGAGTTTTATCCGAATAAAGAAGTTACAGACACAACCAAGATATTGAAGTGTTCATACTTAGCCTGGTTGGTGTCTTTCTTTGCAGACTGCAGTGCAAGAATGAGATCCTCTTTCTCCTTCTGCAGAGAATCCACCGAAGTCTGCAGACTATGAAAATTTTTCTGTAGGAAACAATGCCAAGAAGTTTAAAACTCCAAAAGATATGGCTCTGAATTAATATTACACAAAAAGACTGCTTTAAATGCACACTGTTAATTTTCTGCAACTCGGCATCTGTCCACCAAAGCTATAACGATGCATGTGCAAAAAGAAAGATTTTATCCTCGTTTGATGAGGAATCGCACAAGTACAAGTATAAATACTAGGGCTGTCAAACGATTACAATTTTTAATCAGATTAATCACAGCTTAAAAATTAATTAATCATGATTAATCACCATTCGAACTATGTCCAAAATATGCCATTTCTTTATGTATATTGTTGTGGGAATGGAAAGATAAATGAAAGAAGGCGGATATATCAATTTAACATACAGTATGTATGTTTATTATAACATTTTTCTGTGTGTCAAAATGAAAGACAGCCCACACACCTATCAATCATCAAACCGTGGGGTCTTAATTCATTACGTGTTGATTTCTATCAACGGGGGAGTACTTCAGGAAAGTCGACGCAAATGCGCTTTGTGACACAAGTAACGGTACGCATTTCAGATTACGCACATAACCTGCGTACCAGTTATGTGCACCCCTGTACTACAGCAAAAGTGTTCTCCGTCGGGACTTCCTGCAACAACACCACGCCGTTATCTTGATTCTGATTGGCCAGAAGACATTATCAAAGATGTTCTATTGAGAAGACGATCACAACGTGACAAAAGTTTTCAAAACCGTTTCTGGTCTTCGGGTATTTCCAGACAAGTGGCTACTGAAATCAATCTTACTAACTGCTGTCTGTGCAATTCTCGGCGCGAGTTGGCGGACTTTATTTTGCTTACTTTAACATCATTTTTCATGGTGGGGCTAAGCCATTTCTTGGTATGGGTGTAGCCTACCCCGGCCATACCCTGGCGCTGCCACTGGTGGGATGTATGGGGCGGGCCATTCTGCACATGCGTTAAATACGTTAAATATTTTAACGCAATTAATTTAAAAAAATTAATTACCGCCGTTAACGCGATAATTTTGACAGCATTAATAAATACAAATAAAAACAATACATTTAGGATAAAAACTGAGTAGCTGAGTCAACACATATACAGATATGATAAGAAGAAAACAATGGAAAAAGAGAGATCTCCAACGAGGCGTTCTGGGGCAGCAGAGACAGGTATTTTCTGTGTTAAGAGTTTTACTCCCTACAGGGTGTACTTTGAGGGTTTGTGACTCTGCAGACCGTTTACATGCAGACAAACCTTCATAACACACAAGGGGGCGGGTAATAACCGGAAAAGCATGACATGAGATCTTGAACTAGTTCGGAGTGTAATAATCAACATTCTTCATCAGCGAGACTAAACAAATATGGACCCTGAATTTAACTAGAGCTGTCGTCCATAGAAAAGAATGTGCGCCAGGGAACCTATGTTCCAGATAAAAGAAGGGCCTCTAGATGTCCCTGAACAATATTCTATCTCATGTCAGCTTGTGCTCGGTCATAAGCTGGCAACAACAATGCGCCCAAGCTGCTCCTCATAAAGAGAGATAGCAGCAATACCCAAGGCCGTAGACCTATGCCATGGGAGAAGAGACAGTGAAAGGAGAAAATGATGAACTGTGTCAAAGGTTGAATACCTAAGCAAATTATTCCCTAATGATGTATATGGGCATATGTGAGTTACACTACATTACATGTCACTTGTTAGACGCTTCCAACGCGACTTACATACTCAATACTGTAGACAATCCCCACAGGAGCAATTTGGGTTGAAGTGTCTTGCCCAGGGACACAACGACAACACCAACACCAACGCACTATCCACTGCACCACACCCCGAGTTCAGAGTAGGTACATTACAGGTATCCAAATGTACTGACAGTTCCCCTTTTAATAACTCACGTGACGCATAATCAACGTCAATTACTTAAAAAAGCAACTATGAATGAATCCAGTTTGTTTAATTAAGTCATAAAATCAAGTTAAATATTTCTGATTAACCAAATGAAAATAACTCCGATCCAATATTGTTGGGAGAGTCCATATATTGATAGAAAATCGTCTTACCTGGTGCTCTAACTGCATCGGCTCGAGCTGGGTGTCATTCTGGCACATGTTCCGCACAAAGGCTTCCTTCAAGCTCAACACTTTGTTCAGCTCTATCAGTTCCTTGGAAAGCTGGGCCTGCCGCAGAGCATGATGGGTTGTAAAGCCTTCTGAGGAGTGCTTTCCATCAATGCCAGTGCCATCCTGTGTGAGAGGTAGGAAACATCTTCATTTGGATACGGTTCAGTAGGGGGGATTCTATGATCAATAAATATGTACATGAGAAAATAAATGTCACTGTAGAACATTCTATAAAATAATTTTATTTTCATCACGTATATTCGTAAACCAATCAAATGTGCAGATTCAGTGGTAACGAAAGCACAGTGCACCGAGTTTTCAGTAAGATAAAGTAAAGATTCAAAGACTCAATTGCTACAGCATAATTTGACCCTTAAATCCCAGACTTATGCCACAAAGCAACATATAACATTCGGGATGCAAACACAGGTATGGTGAAAAAAGAGAGCTATTCGAAGCAGAAACAAAACAGCGTAATATACCATCTGACAAAGGCCTGTGCTATAATCCTTCAATTAACTGGCTGTTCTTTATAATATACTCAGATCAATAGGAGACAGAGATGTTAAGTTAGAAATCAAGGGTTTTTATTATTATTTAGAGGTGGGGAATCTTTTCCCTTTCAATTTTTACAACATCCTCCGAGGTTTCGTACAAATTATTGAACACAACCTCTGCTTAAAAAAAACTAAAATCACAGCCCATTCATTTCGCCTTTCTTTCATGCTGTGCAAAGAAAAAGCAACCTCTTAATCCAGATATCTTTTTTTTTTTAAATTGAAATGTTGAAGTTAAAAGCATCAATCTGGGTCACTTTGAGAGCAAAATGAAGAGATCTATGGATATATTTCTCAACACCCATATGAAACAGACCTGTAAGAAGGTTTTATTTTTCTTTATGGATATTTTACAAATCACTCTCCTTTTAAGCTGTATTCTTGTTATTTTTTGACAACTTTTGTCAACTTTTTTGTTAATGTCATAGTATTTATAGTACCAAAAACTGCGGCATGTGTACGGCTCCTTATGGGTACTGCAATATTTAAAGTGCTGGAGAGGGGCTCCTATGGTCTCCGTCAACAATACACCACGTGATGACACGTTACGCTCGTGTTGTGTTCAAGGAACCTGTTCTTGGCCAGGAAAAACAGGCACTCTCTTGTTTAATTATTTTGCGGTCTAGATTTCTTAAACTCTTCGGTTCTTACACAAGTCACCCAAATCAGCATTAAAAAAATCGGGAGGCGCCGAAAAGCGACTAATTTGCATGCATGAAAATAACAAAGAAATTAAAGAAATTGCAAAAGGAAATAGAAAAAATTTTAAACTTAGAGAGTATGGTGCATGCCACACAATGTGCAAGTTCATGCGGAAATAAGTTAATTATGCATATTTAATCATGGGCGTAGGAAGCATCCTGAATGTGGAGGGGACATCGCGNTGAATGGCAAGTAGCTATATCCCATACTTTTGATATAAATCTGTTCCAAAATCTGAAAATCGGCGTGTAACCTTAAGAATTGTCACTACCGAACACATATTATCATATGTGTTCGGTAGTGACAATTCTTAAGGTTACACGCCGATTTTCAGATTTTGGAACAGATTTATATCAAAAGTATGGGATATAGCTACTTGCCATTCAGCCATGAGGGACGCTATGTCACTGACTTGTCAAAAGTGCAGGGGTGTGGCTAAAAACCAGGCTCAGCCATTGGACTAAAGCCCCTTGTGTTTCGGTAGTGACATGAAAACTGGGAACATGATTTTTTGAGTATAGTTTTTTTATTAAAAAATTAAACCCACGATAAATCTAAATATTCCAAATTCTGTTTGAATGTAATTATAAAGATCTTCTAAATACACCATTCAACTAAATAAAATAAAAATGTTTTAAGTGTTATTTACAGAACATAAAATTTAGATGTCAGGGTTGGGGACAGCTACTTCCCAATAGAAAGTGCCCTATATAAATTATGTTTTTGTATACATTAAGCGTATCACTATATAATTGAATGCCTTATGTTTGAATAGACCATAACATAGTCTTAAGTAAATATATATGTCTGAATACTTAATTGTTTTTTTAAATCGTTTTTTTTTTGTTGTTGGACCGCACTTTGCATCAATTCGGTATAGAATGCCCCATATATATATATTATATATATTTTTTTTACTTTATTTATTTACATTTTAACCAGAAATGCATTTCTAAAGTGATATTTTTTGTAACTGTTTTGGCTATCAAACAGCGCCACCTAACGTCTTACTAACCTAGGGGCTATCGTTTAGTTAGCTAACATGTATCCATGTTAATGTCGTTTGATTCAGAGAAGCTACATGTAACGTTAAAGTTTATAATAAACCTAAAATGTG